TCAGGAGCATTTCCCCAGAATATTATTCCATATTTCCAATGCTTTTCAGGTGTGAATATGCGTGTTGGTATTCATACTGGGACAGTTTTGTGTGGAATTGTTGGAACACGTCGTTTCAAATTTGATGTCTGGTCAAATGATGTTTCATTGGCAAACCAAATGGAATCTACTGGGAAACCAGGTAGAGTTCATGTTTCGGAAGTTACATGTCAATATCTTGGCGATTCTTACCTTTTGGAAGAAGGAGACATGGTTAAGGGTGAGTATTGGATGTGCATTAATAATGAATAAGTGATAAGAGAACATAAAATATTCTGCAATGAAAAGTGTGAATTTTGATTGAGAAAAAGAGATAAAACATTGAATGTTTTTTTGTAGATCTGAAGACTTATTTCATAGAAGGCCGAAAGACTGACCTACTGAGACACCCTGAATTAAATTCTTCTCTGCCAGTTGTTGTAACAGCTCCCACTGATTCACCACTGCTGCCTACGTCCCGAAAACGTGTGCAATCTTGCATCACTGGTGCTGGGCCTAAAGCACATTCTCATTATTTGCAGCTTGTCACTGCTAGTGCGACTTCTCCTAACCATGCAAATCGTATGAAGGCATGCTCATTACCTAGTATTCTTGATTCAGATAATGATGATGATACTGGAGAGGCTGCAATGGCAGAGACAGAGTGTCTTAGTAAAAGTCCTACATCATTAGTGAGTTGTGGAAAGTTTTCACCAAGAGGAAAATGGCGTTATCAGGGAAACAAGTTCAAAACAAAAACAGGTAAAAAATTGTGTGTATTATGCTCTTCCTTTTTCTCGTCCCTTTTTTCTTCACATCCCAGTTCACCATGGGCATTCGACATTCGTTAATTCATAAATTGAAGAGTTGAACAATTTTCTTGAGTTAATTTTTCCCCTGTGCATTGTATGTTGCCCTTTTTCAGTATTTTGTTTGTATGATTTTTGTTGCTAAAATCTTAATTATGTTACTTGTGTTTTGTAATTGTTTCTTTACACTTTAAAGTAGCTTATTAATTTATGCTCTTTTTATCTTTGTGTTTGCATTTGTGAGGGGGGATTTGCTCCCACCTGTCTTGCATCACAGGTGAAGCCTGCCCCCC